AGCAAATTGCATTGCTGGACTCATTGGAGTAAAGTCCAAGAGAATATGTTAAATATAAATATATGAGAAAATAGACTGAGTGTGCAAGCTGGGTGTGGATAGGTAACACAAAATAAAACTAAGATACATGAAATGCGATGATAGAGCTGGCCTGTATTGCCTCTTACAATCTGCCCTTCCTATTGTCCTCACTGTGTAAGTTAGAGCTCCCTGGAATATTCTTCATTCTAAATCAGCAGCTAGCAGCTGCATTACCTTTGCAGCTGAGACCAAAAGGAAGTTCTATGGCTGCCACATCTTTATAATAGGAATGATACTAATTCTGTGTCCTCTTGAGCAGGAGAATGGTCATATCTAGTCTGCATTTCAAGTGACTCATCCATGCAAGTGTAGACACACATGCCAAAAGCCATTGCAAATGCAAGAGTAAATGGCACCAGTCAGACTGATCTTTACTGTTCATTGCATCTTAAAAAAGAAAAAGGTTGGGGGAAGGGAAATTAGAAATGCTATTTGCTCTTTAAAATAAAAAACAAACCCTAGATAATTATATTCTCTGATAAAACTGTTCTTAAGGAATTACTCTTTTTTAAAACATCCCCAGTGTACTGTGAGGGCTATGTATCTATGTAGATTTTGACCCAACAGCCAGAGTCACATTCATCGAGTTCATCATAAGCACACTGCATTCTGCCAGGATATCAAATAAAATTCTAGATTTCCCAATTAAAAAAAAATATACCCTCTGACCCCAGAAAAACAACATTTAGTTTCTTGGTTATGGGATCTCAGCAGGCCTTGCTTTTGACAAGAGTAAAAGTTATTTTCTCTCTATGTTATGTTTCTTTAGCAAATGTTTTAAAAATTACTTAAAGAACATAAAAGGTCATTTGAAAGTCTTATTTTTATTGTCACTGCCTCCAAAATACATTCCATAACTCAGTTTAATGTGATCTGCAGCAGGCCAAGAGTTTTACAAGCCAAGATATTATGTCTAGTCAAGTTAGAGACACGACAGAGTTCAGTGAAGAGGGGGGAGTGAAGATCTAGTTTGAGAAATGTAATTTTGCAATGCCTATAAAGCATGGAAGGAAAATATTTCTCTGCATTCTATTTTGATGACTAAACATATTCATGACCTTTCCTAAGGTAAGGGAACCCTACCAAGCACTTTATGAGAAAACAGACAAATGTCTGAGGACATGTGTTTTAAAGCATGTCAAGACAAGGTTCACCTACCTCCCAGAGTAGTCCCTGCTCCTGTAGATAACTTTCTCCTGATTTCATCACCCACAAGCCTCCATAGTCCACAAGCCAGTGCAGAGAAGAGTGGGGCAGGAACTTGTTCTTGACTTACTGATACCACATCTATCTGCTGTATCTTCAGATGAGGAAATGTACTGTGAGTAATTTGCACATATTAGTTATCATTTTCACGTATTCAATTTAGTGGATTCATATGTGTCAGACTGGCCTGTTGCATTGTATAGGCATTCACTCATCTGAGTCTGAACCGTGATTCTGTCAGCTGTTATCCTTCCAGTTGCCTGTTGATGGTAGACTGCTTTAATCTTTCCAGTAGTCACAGTACTTTGCAGTATTTGGCCCCACACACTGAGTTTATATAAGTCAGCAGCCATCAGTGTTTGTGGGAACTACTCTGTCACTGAAAAGATTCTTTACATCTCTGCTTTTTATTAACCATTTTCTTGACAATCTCATTATTGACTGCCAAAGTCCTGCATTGTTTGGAGCTCTTTTCTCCTAACCACTGGCCTTAAAAGCTTAGGTCACTGGAATATCTTAAATCCAAGTTATCTTTCTCTGTATTATAAGAGAGCCGAGATGAGTTAGGACAATCAAATGAGGGATGCAAAGAGATTTGTTTTGTTTAATCACAGCTGTGTGTGTCCCAGCAATTCACTGAGTATTGTCTTCCCTACTTGTTTTGCAGTGGCCCAAAAAGTACAAACCCAGGGTTGGCCTCTATTGTGTGTCATACAGCAAACCCAAACCAGGGCACTTGGCCTTGTCACATGCTGCATACAATATTTCTTTTTTTCAGTCATCTGAGGGTTATACATGAGGTCCTCAGACTAAGATTTTAGTTTGTTTGATAGGTAGGTGTCTGGAGATTCAGAGAGAAGTCTTGCTTGTGTAAAGAAGACTCCTTAGTTTTCTTCCTTGTTTTTCTATGAAGATGGTTTCTATTATGGTATTTTAACTCCTGATTATGACCTCTGAATATAAATTCCTGTAATTTCTTCAGAGACATCTATGTTATTGTAAATCCATTTGGCTTTTCATAGTAAACTACTAATCCCACAAATAAGGCTGATGGAGGAATTTAAGCAACTGTATTCTGCTTGGTGGGAGTTACAGAGGCACGTTTCCCTTTCAGTTGTTAGACAGAGTATCAGCCCCAGTTATTCTGTGTAGTAGCAGTAATTGTACTGACCTAAAGAAGGTTACTCCAGATTTACATTGTCATAAATAAGACCAGAATTTGGATATTCTGGTACATGGCCAGTGTTAGCAGAGCACCTCAGTTCCTATTAAATGTTTACAAACAGAAATAACAATTGCATGTTCCCTCACTCATGCTGTCTTGCCATCTGACAAGAAAAATAACTTTGTTTTACAGTGGTTATTGTGCTCACCTTGCAAATGTGACTGTGATCTGAGAGAGTTGGGGATATGTGTGAGAGCCGTCATGAATACATTTGGTTTGACGCTTCAGCAAAAGTTTCTAAAATATCAAATTTTGTTCTTCATTCAGTTTCCCAGTTCACTTTTGCCTTCAGTGGGAAGATGTAATGTCATCTAGACAGCCATCCTCTCAAAGTTCAGTCTCCTGTTTGCATATCTTTTCTCTGATATTGGACAGTTTCCTTGGTTCAACAGTATAGCTGGTGTGGATAATTCGTGTCCACAGAGGAGGAATACTCTCTTGGGGAGCAATGTCCAATCCCACTTTGAATCTAGTGACAAAGACTTTTGGCTGGTCTTTGATAAGGTCTTCTGAAAATCAGTTGTATTAGGCTATGTTAACATGACTCTACTGTTCGGTGGCCAAGCTAGGTATGGTCTGCATTTGGCTGGAGGCTACAGAGGGTACAGAAAAAAACATGTTCAGGTGAGAGGCAGTGCAGGCAGGTCAGCAGGTGATCTGCACTGGGAAATCTTTGCTTTTAATGAGACAGAAATGTATCTGCTGCAGCATTCTTGTGTTTGTTCTTTCACTCCTGATATAGTTCATTTTGATATAGAAATAAGCATTGGGTGATTCACTAAGACCTTAAGACCCTAAGGTACTTCATAGCTCATGTCTAGAAGTTAACTTGTCACCATGGACAACTGGATATCAAGTTTGAAAAGTGTAAAAGGGTGACAGTGATGAGGACTCACTCAAAAGTCCATGTTGGGTATTCTGAACCATGGACACCAGAGCATTTTTTGAAGTGTATTGCTCTTCTGGTGGTACTTTTTAAGTCTTTCTTAATCTTAGCTTTATCAGTTGCATTTAACCTTGTACTGTTTTTAAACTAAGCATTGTTAAACTTGAAAGATGTTGCTGATCAGTATTGTAGGAAAAAGTGGCTATCATAAAGACTCCTAGTGGTGTTTAATAAGTATTCAAAGACTGTAGGAGAAAGGACGAGGCCTTGAAGAAAAACTTTCAAGTAAGGGTTTGATAATGGAGGAACTATCACAGATGTGGCACTCCCAGGTCATTTGATTAACCTCAGTAACTGATGAAAGAGGTTTGACTATCAAACATAGATCACATTCGTCCTACCTTCATGGTATCAAATATTCAACTATGCAGTATTTTCCCTTTCTCTTATCTTCTTGTTTTGTATACTGATCCATGCCCTCCTCTCACTCCTGCTAGAACCTTGAGTGTCGCCTCCCAGTTTCAGTTACATGGACTGGGTATCTTAGTAAGTTAGAGGTCTCAATTGTACTAGATGATAGCAATTCAAGAAGTCCTTAACCTCTGTCTGAAACCAATTTCTCTTTTCTCTAGACTTCATTATTTTGGCATTCCAAATACATTTTGTTCAACATAAAGTAATTGTTTATGCTTCGCATGCAGCTTAAACTTCTGAATGTGTGTTTTGTATTTGAGCAACATCAAAGTGTGGAGTGGGCACCCCATTTGTGTCTTGAACTGAAGCCCATTCACCTAAAAATTATGGAGCCAGAAAAACTAGGAGGGTACTAATGCTCAGTGTGTGCAGTCACTTGGTCACTTGTTTCTGAATAAGAAGACAATCACAAATTTTAAAAGTTTTATGTCAGGGCTAGTGTTCAGAACACTTAATCGAAAATTAAGAAACAAGGTTTTGGCCTGGATTTATCAGTTAAATTCAACTAGAATACTGCAGACTACTAATGGCAAAGATGACACACATGGGGCTAGAATGGAGGCATGTTACAGAAGAAAGGGAGAATGTGTGAAGACAACAATTTTAATTATTTGAATCGACTATAAAATAGTCCGAGTTTTAATCTTTTAAGGTTTTGGGTTGGTTTTTTTTACACCTTTAAAGGGTCCCATAGAATTTAATAGTGATAAATTCAATTGAGACCTATAAAGATCCAAAAGCTCTTTTAAAAAAATCTTTATGAAACTATAAAATAATAGGGCAGGTGATACTTTCTGTGGACAGAAAATCAACTGATACAATTTCAGAGGGAAAAAAAAATCTTGAAATGCTGTGGTATTTTCCTTAAACTGCTAGATGTTAATGACAAAAGTCTTTTTGCCTGACTGGAGTTGCTGGGTACTTGATGCTCCCATGGATAGCATAGGGCATTACTCAGTATTTCTGAACTTGAGGCCCTGATTACGTAGCAACTTTTGATTTAACTCAGCTTGCATGTTAACAGGGTTTTTTTTCAGCTCAAAGTCTTGTGTAATTATCTCTTTTAATTGTTTGAATTTTTTTTTTTTTTTTTTTTTTTGCCTGCTTTTGGAATTTACGACCATCCAGTGAGAAGGACACTAAAGAGTGGACTGACACCAGAAGAAGCCAAAGCACTGGGCCTCATCAGCACCTCTGAGATGCAGGTTTGACGTCTCAGAGGTGGCGACAAGAAGAGCCGTTCATCTGAAGCACACAGGCTGACAACCCTCAGCGTGGCATTGACCTGCCAGCCTCCTCTGCTGCTCCCAACATCCCATCCTCTGTTAGTCTGATTTTAATAAGCAACAAAAAGCAAAACCCCACAGCCAGGGCAGAAGAAGGGTGTGCCGCAGCTCAGCACAACATCTGGACAGTAACTGAGAAAGCATTTGAGTGCTTGTAGGTGAAAGCATATGGCTCCTTCTGTCATGGTGTGTTGATGTGGGTAGGAGGGGACTCTCTCTGAGTTACCTGTCATGTGAGCTGTGTTTATGCTGGCTTTCTTTGTGCCCTGTTTTAGTCATTGTAAATGTATGGCATTTTGTCAATGCAAGGAACAGTCCTTAAAGAGGCAAAATAACTCCGGTTACAGCAACCCCAATTTCCTGAAGCAGATTCATTAAGCAAAGATGTGAAACCCTGTGGTTTGTTTGGGTTTTTTTATTATTTTGCCACCAAAGAATGTAAAAATGTATGTGTACCTTTGTATATGTACAGAATGAATGTGTGGACACGTGTGCGTGTATCTATACACATACTGTCGTGGTGTGAAATCACGCTCCTACTGAAGCTAGCTGGACCATGATTTTCACTCTGAGTCCTTACCATTACACCTGGGCAGGAGGAAAAGGAGTGTCTTTCTGTAGGAACTTGGTGTTATCAATGGGATTCACCTTGTGAGGCAGGAGGTGGCCTGCAATGCAAGTGGAAAGTTTAGGATCCTGAATTCATGTGTATTAATACACACTCATACTGTACATAGCGGCATGCACATAGAGGAGAGGACGCAGAATACCTCCCTCTTGTTGAGCTATAGCTGTACTATGCATTTGTACAGTTGCAAAGACATCTATGCCAACAATTTTACATACTTGGTAAATGCATTCAGATGCTAAGATCAAGAAGTTTTGTTCACTTGCCTGTGCCCTTCATGCTGCTTTTCTCTGCTGCAAGATAATGTGGTGGTGATTTTATTTCAAATTAATGGATCTGAATATGAAATGGCCCTGCTAAAAGCCTGCTGTTTTTTTGCTGGTTTTGACTCTTTTTTTGTGATTATCCTTGATGCAAGTGGAGAGGGTACTACACTCCAATATGTTTGCCCTTATGTCGGTGTTTTATGACTGACTTTTATAACTGCCCTCAACATTTGTGTTTGAAGAACCTTTAGTCAAACTCATCTGCCTTTACATGGAGGATGTATACAGCAGTGAAGATGAATTGAACACTAACCCTAGCCAGTGCTGAAGCATTTTGAAGAAAACTGCAAATAACAGTAATGTAAAAGGGAACTTTTTAAGCCAAAGTCTGTATATGACCAATTGATCCTCAAGGATGCACAAGATTATCTCTTTCCATTGCCTTAGCCTCTAAGATTAAGGGTGTGTCTGCACAGCAGTAACAGCTGAGGCTTCCTTCAAGCTAGTGAACTGTGGAACTAGTGAAAGTAGGGTAACTAGCTAACTGGGTTTGATTTTGGCTGCAAAACACACTTGAAAAGTAGGATTAATTAATAGTCTATGCTGGGCTCCTAATGCCATAGCTATGTTGCTTCTGCCACCCAATCTAGGTCAGGTATGTCAACAAGTTATTCTGCTCTGCTCTCATTAAGGACAGGATAATTGCTGAAGATTGTTCAGGATAGTTGAACCAAACACGATAAACCTTTTAAATCTCGGTTATCTGTCACATCGCACTGAGTACAGCATCCAAGTGATGAGAGAACCAGGTATTTGACAACACTGCAATGAGATCTGTAGTGGAACACCCTATCTATGCTGTCTCTCTCTTGATCATAATGTTTCGTTCTTGGTTTGCCATTGCCTTGGATCTTCACATGTCAAAGTCTGTGGGTAAAAAGTCACTGATGAGCAAAGGATCTTAAGGATAGCATTGAGTTTGATCTGTTTTTCCCCTCAGCTTGTTTAAAAGTCAAATGTTCAGGTAGGCAGAAGGCAGTTGTTGTGTAATTAATAAAATGTATTGTGTATTTGAAAGCTATGAAAAGGAGGAAGCTGGTTAGGAAACAGAAAGAATTGGCATATAATTAATCTCACTGTACAATAAGAAAGACCTATGAGCATCTAGAATTTAAAGTGGATGTTTATGTGCTGCTCACCTTTATGGACTTTTAAAATCTCTCTTAAGGATGCTTAGAAAAAAGGAATGAAGGTAATGGGGGTTTGTGAAGGTCTTGAAGGTCTGAAACAAGAGGAAGACACCCTGAATGTAATGGTTATGTTGAACTGTTGTACTGGTTAAGTGATAAAAGAAGCCAAAATGTAACAAAATGTGTCTATGTTGGCAGAGGTCCTATATTTGATTGAAGGGAGAAAATCAAACAAGTTTTTAAAAATTAATAATTAAAATATCCTGAATGTGTAAAGTAGGTGGCTGTTGGTGACCACCTGATAACAGGAACACAAAATAGTGTTTCGTTTAGACATAGTACAGCATCTGTGTCTGAAACGTAAAATAGCTGATGAATTACTAATAGTTGGGCATCTGTATTTTCCAGGAATTGTGAAAAAAAAAAATGTGCAAAACTTCATATACTCCTTATTGAGGAGAGAATTAAATATGGGAAGTGGGATTAGAATAAAGTCAGGAAAAAAAGCTGGTTTCTTTCAGATGCTCTGGATGCAAGTGTCTTACACGTGAAGCGTATCCTTCCTTGTCCATTTTTCCATTATGTTTTGTATTTTTGCCTAAGTTCCTGCTCTGTATCTGTAACACCAAAACCAATTTTTCTGAGGATAACTCGGTCTTGTTATGCAGTCTTCAGTGTTTATTGCAACAAGATCATCAAAGAGTAACAATGCAATAACTACAGAAAAATTTTCCATTTTGGCTTATGATAAAAATGGTCAGCGGCCCAATGTGCTAATCTGCAAGGTGGCAGTATTTCCTCTGGAGTCTGCTAGTATGTCCTGACTGTGGTAATAACATTTGCTCCCCTTCATCTAACTAGTGGATTCCAGATGAAATGGAAGAATTGGTTATATTTGCCTGCCTCTGTCTGTCTGTCTAATCAGGTTGTAAACCTTCAGGATTTGAGCTGCTGCCTGCACCTCCATCCTCAAATGAGCCCACTGTAAGGATATAAGTTGTTTTAAAATGTGTGTGAGATACAATTGTTTTTGTCACAAACAGACAGGTCTTGGAAACATGCTGTAGTAACACATGTTCCCATCTCTCACTTAGAGATCCATGAAGGCTCTTTTTAAATACTTGCAGCCATTATAACTACCTCTCTTTTCTTTCTCATAGTACCAGTCAGCTGCAAATGTAGTGCCCAGAGTTTTGTATCTCCACCGAGCTCTCAGAGTCGCTGCTGGTGTTGATTTCAGCACCCATCTGCTGCCAATAACTTGTCTGTCTACCACCATAATGCCTTCCTGATTTGGATGCTGAGGTAAACTTTAGCGTATGAAATGGCAGCCAAAGGGAAGCTATCCTAATTTCCTTTCATCTCCCTTGGTGTTTAAAAGCAGACTGCATACAAATACTTTGTATTCCCTCGCTCCCAACTGAGGGATAACTTTCAGTAGCAGTTATGTGGCTGCGGTGAAGAAGTACCCCCAGGGAATGCTGTGTGCCACAATCGAGAGTGAAAGATCCCTCAGAAAAATTAAATTCATCACTCCTCACCTTTCAGTAAGGCCAGGCACCAGACTCATGGATTCCAGATGTTTTATAGCCCCTTGGCTGCTATGTGTGACCCTTCTGTTTGATAGATCCCTGTCTGTAATCCAAAATCAACACAAAAATGGTGTTTTAATGAGGGTCTTGCTCTGATAAATACTGGAAACAGTGTCAAATACATTTCTTTTTCTCTTTTGACCCCCTTCTATTGTAAATCTCTGTAGTGATTGACTCTGTCGGCAAAATGAGGCATCAGATTTGCAGATAGACAAGATTTTGGCTTTAGCTTATTAGAAAGTCATATGTGAATAGCCAGATAAGGGTTCATGCCCCGATTTAACAGAAATTTGGAATCAGAGTCTTGAAGTGACTGAACAACAAGGGCCTCCTGCAAGGTGCTCCATTCCCCCTTGAGGTACTAGATAACGTGGCAGGACAGCACCCTAAGTCCCTGGTGTGCTATGCTCTGGACGTACCCTGGCGAACACTAAAAGCCATTGAAAACTCACAAGTAAGGACTACAACATCTACTGCAAACTTAAGGGGCACAGTGCCACTGTAAGTGCAGTCAGCGGTTCCTTTTGTCAGGCATCTGCTCTGCACTCGCGTCTCCAATAGTGTAACAACAGGAAGTGTCTATCCAGAATTCTTTAGAAACCGTTTGGCCTATGGTAATAGTCTGGATTTGGGTGTGTGTACGCTGTGTGGTTAATTGTTTTTACAGTGCTTTGATTTCATTGAGATGGAATGGGGACAAGGTGGCAGCCCACCAGTTTCACATCCTTTATCCTGCCACTACAACTCGCAGGGAAGTGTACACGCTGCCTGCCTTTATCTAAAGGATGCATAGGGACATGGTGTCAGACAGAAGCACGAGTATGTTCCTCTCTCCCTTTCACTTCTGTACGCTCACTGCACATGTACCACTCCTCTTGTTATCTCCGAGGCATGTTGTGTGTGCGCACAGAGGCAGAGAGCCTGGCCCTGTGCCGTGCTGGGTTGATGGCTCTGCATTTCCAGCATTGGGATGCAAGAAACACTTGCCTAAGCTGTAAGGACTATGACTGTTGATGTTTCTCCACAGGGAAAACTGCCAGGTACTTACAGGCTCTGAAAGAAAATAAACTGGAGCATATTTGAAAGAGGCAATGTTTGGTTACAGGCCACTGTTGAAAATTATTTGCAAACACTTGAAGAACATGTAACGCCTACCTTCTTTTTTTTCGACTGGGGCAGCAACTGGCCCAGTTGGCATTTCAGATGCGATACCAAGAGGTTTTGGGCAAGCAGTTTTATAGTTACATAGCAAGTAATTCAAGGAGTTTCAGAGATATTGTATAGTTTTATGTTTACGCAAAAAAAAAAAAAATTATTTCTAATTAGTCCATTTCACATTGAGTGGCAGATAGAGATATATTTTGTTTAATCACTATCTAATATGGAGGCTTCTGTGAAAGAAAAGGTTTAATTGTAGCATTGGGTGCATTTCTCCTTTTTAAAGACTGTCTTTGCGCGTATAGTGTCCTTTATTGTGAGCTGGGAATTGTAAAAAAATGTAAAGTAGAAAAGGACGTGTTTCTTAGACGAAGGAGAAATACTGTAAAATTGTGTAAATGTCACTACTCATGTTTTTTCATGTTCTGTGTAGCATAGTGTAAAATAGGCTTTCCAGCAGTGTTATTCTGTGAATTGTAATTTAAAAAACAAGCCATGCATGGTCAGAGATATTATCTACAGGTCCTTTTGGTTGAGTTTTTGTTTTTGTTTGTTGTTTTCTCATTTTAGGTTAATTTGTTTTATGTTAAATTTAATCGTCCATGAAACTGCATTTTTGTTCCTCAGTTTTATTTCATAAAGAACTTGAATTACTCTTTAAGATTCTATTACACACGAAGCTCACCTACCGTTTGTATTGATCCTTCAGAAGCTTTGTCACATTTAGTGTAAACCAGGGGGATTTTTTTTTTTTTAGCACACCCCTCATCTGCCTCTTCTCCTCCCACTTTACCCACTACTGTCTGGAAAGATACAATCACACTTTTTTTTTTTTTTTTTTTTTTTT